CATCAACAATAACAACGCCCTCTCCATCAACAATAACAACGATATTTCCTCCAAAAATAGATTCGCCCTTTCCTTCAAAAAGAACAACGCCCTCTTAAAAGGGTAAAAGAAGACGAGAATAAGCATACCACAGATGAAATTAAGACAGATAACGCATTATACAAGCTACTTGCATTAATATTTTTTTATATTGTACTAGTACATAAACCAGTTTTTTAAAAAGTGTTTCAAAAAATTATGGTCGTTGTCGACATTTTTATCGTCGCAGTCGCAGATATAAATAAGTAACCTTTCATGCCGTCTTTGGATTTCGAAATATAGCAAGCATATGTTCTATATTCCTCAAGTGCATACTTAAACTTATGTTGTCTACCATGGTCATGTATCTAAATTATTCTTACATGTAGGCTATGCTGGTGGTTCATACTATGATGAGACGGGTGGAGCGGCCAATCACGTGTGTCTACCACGTGACCCAGTGTGGGGCGCTCACAAGTCAGTGGCCAGTGACGACTACGCTGGGAGGATGTACGGCGCGGAATACGAAAGTAATAATGGACATTCTCCTTTCGGACAGAATGTCCACAATCAAGATGTCCCCTGTGCTGTATGCAGAGCGACGACCTTCACATCGTCCATCATGATTCCAGGTCGAGCAGAGTGCTATGGTGGCTGGACTGAGGCCTACCGTGGGGACCTTGCCTCGGGGTATTACAAATTCTCGGCCCCCTCGGAGTATGTGTGTGTAGATGAACATGTTGAGAGTCTAGACGGCGGAATTGCCGACCAGAACGGGGTCCTGTTCTTTGGGGTCAAGGCAGAGTGTGGCTCTCTGCGTTGTCCTCCTTACGAACAGGATAAATATCTGTCATGTGTAGTGTGTATGAAATAATATGTCATCAATTTCATACACAGGTGTTCACCTTGCCATTTTATCACAGGAGTGTAGAATCACTATGTGTAATGAGAGTATCAATAAAAGATTTCGAAAAATATAATGATAATGACGATACTTGGTGTGGAGATATAAGTGTAACACGATGATACTATATTTGTATGCAAATAAAGCAATTAACCACAAAAAAAACCCCAAAAAACAAAATCCGAAAAATAGACATTTTGGTTATATTCTTCAAAAAGAAAGGTCAATAAAAATTATGAAGGTGGCAACTATGTCTTGTTTGTTAAAATTTGTAAAATTTCGTATCAACGAATCTATTGGGATGTCTGCTTTTGGAATACAAAATGTTTAAAAACGATAGATGGTATCGTGTTTTGTAAGTGATGGGTTTAATAGCGTGTTTGTATGGCCACGATTAACTAGGTTCACCACGTTGGTATTAGAGGAGGCCACTGCCTGAACAGCTCCTGCAATGTCTACCACGCCCACTTCTCTCACAAACGTCCTTAACGTGGTCCAACGTCTGGCGAATAGGTCTCACCAATACTATAAATACACATGGCATACTAGGTTAGCAAGCCTCGAAGGAAGTTGTTCTTTAAAGAAACAGTTGGCCACTTATGGTCACCTCTATATCGCTTAAATAAAGACGATTATGTTAGCAGAAATGTAATGTTTTGTATTTCGCTACTATTTACATATTTGTCTTTAATGTTTAAACTGGAACTGCATCTGCTTCATTTAGTAACCGATATGACTTTAGATTTTGTTTTCACCACCCGGGTGAGGACATTACTTGGGTTCGACTAAGATAAACATGGTTGGGGTCATCGATGAAATATAAGACGCTTACCCTTTCGGAACACCTGGGCCGTATTCATGAAACCGTTCTCATTCTCAGGCATGGATTTTGTGCTCAAGTCTAATTTCTTGTTCTCGTTATAAATTTATGAAAACTATCCTATTTTGTCAACGATTTGGGAAAAAATGGAATAATCTGAAAGCGGAATACTGTTTTCAATGTTCATATTTAAGTTTTCAATTGTTTGACATGATTTAAGCGAGTTACAAAAAAATTAGTTTGAGCACAGCACCCATGCTTGAGCATGAGAACGGTTTCATGAATACGGGTCCTGTTCTTATTCTCCTTGTACTTCTTTTAAGCGTCTCCATGTAAATCTCTCTATTTCGAATTTCTCCTTTGTTTTGTCGATTTTTTTGCGTTCGAATTGTGGATTTGTTGACACCTCGGTATTCTCCTGTGTGTTTTATTCCGTCTTTGCGTATTGCAGAGTTATCTTCTCTTGGTAGCAGGTATTGATTGTTACGTCATTGGTCTGTGTGAGAAAATTACGTCGTTTTCTCAAAAATTGATGACGTTACTCTCACAAACAAGTGACGTAACAATCAATCCCTGCTCCCAAGAGAAGCTAACTCTGCAATACGCAAAGACGGAATAGGGAAGGACCCTGGAGGTCAAGGTTCTTTATGATGTCAGCCAAAATAATACGATGTATAAATAATATAAACGCAAAAAACCAGGCGTGTTTAGGACAGTTTTCTCCGGATATCTGTAATTCGCTCATTGGACTGAACTGACAAACAAAAAATATCGTCTTTTTGTGATCTGCAGTCACTGGAACATAATTTATAATAGCATATCTATTGATGTAAAGTTTGATGGTACAAAGTACAAATACCAACAGGAAGCAAATAGTCCAATACTTTTGCGGGTATATTGTACAGTAACGACCCTATGGTTATATTTTGACGGTTGCTTGAAGGTGCCAGCACAAAAAATAACACTACACAAAAACTTGACCTCTTCGTGATTTCTGATTATTGATTCGATGTTTGTCGTCTGGGAATGCTTTTTTGCTTATTCGATTCTTTGAAATTTTCCAGGAAACTCTCGGAGTACTCCGTGTTTTAAATTCTATTAACAGTGGAGAGCTGGAAACTCATCACTATCGAATTATAATTACCGAGAAAGGACATAAATTTATCAGATCCACTTTGAAATCTTATTAGAATATATGTTGACCTCTGCACAATTCTGGGAAATTGTTGTATTCATAAAAAAAATCGGATTCGGAAGCAAGAACGCCAAAGTATCCGTCATTGATGCAAAATAAAGTCATTCATCATATAACAAAATCAATTTTTCGATTTCGATTTCATATCGTTCAGTGAAGGAATTCTGAGCGTTCAGCAAATGTTTTACAACTTTACATCTGGACATGTTTTTTAGGGACCAGGTTTCCATTTAATGATGATAAGTACCTAACATTCTACTATGTTCAGGCTAGCACCCCTGTAGACTCTGTCCGGTTTTGGGTAACGAGTTCCTTGGAGTATTTGGTGTAGAAATGCTCCAGGTTTACAATCCTGTAATCTTACTCGGCCGGTCATTAATTTCTTCACAAATCCATAGAAGTACAAACAAGCAGGTAACATCAGTCAGAACTACCAAACCGAAAAATTGTCGTCCTGGTTCGAGTTGATTTTGTATGAATGTTTTTTTTTTTTTTTTTTACCACAGTCGTACTGTTAGTAAAGCATTAAGGATGGGTTACTGCATATTTTCTCTACATATCTCTTTCCCCGTGAATTTTCGTCCATCAATAACAGTATAAGCTTTGCTTATTTGGAAATACTTTCTTCTGGTTGGTAAATGTATATTGGATAAAGGGTCATATAACACAACCAGTACAATTACATGTGGGGTCTCGGTGATTAGTTCGATATGTACTGTAAAGCGTTGGTGTATTAAGGCATTAAAGATACTGTTTTTTTCTAAACATAGCATTGCTTCAAGGAATACAATTTCGAATTCATCTTTAAGAATGGTGTGACGACCATTTGGTGTTGGTATTACCCCTTTATCAAAGGTAAAAATGATTTCTACGATTTTTCTAGCGTTTAGATTTTTAGATTTCCAGATTATCATTGCTCGACATTCTTCAGTATGTCTTTGAGGAATATTTCCGATGCTAAATTTAATGGCATCCGTAATTTTACAACTTAAAATCTCGCGTCAATTCGTTTTTACTATACTTCGTATAACGTTCAGTATTTACTGTTTCGCCTTGGTTGAAAATAATAGTATGGTTTTCCTGTGTGAACTGCTGGATATTTGACAGTTTAGTTTCAATAATGGCAACAATGCACGACAAAACACAAAATACTCATTCAACTGCAATCGTTTATTTATTTACATGAAAAAACAACACAGAACGGAAATAAACAAACGAGATCAGTCCCTTGCATAAACTCTTCAATTCCATTTTTTCCTGTAATTATATTTGTTAAATGCAGCATGCTATCAAGTCGGTACCATCTTTATATCCACACATAATAGTTCTGCTGATCTGTTTATTAATCTATACGTGTCTGATAAACTTAATTTACTGACGGCCAGCTTCCTGATTGGTGTACATTGTCAATCAGACGACCAAGCAAGCCCCCTTATATCGGACATCAGGACATCTTTACTGGTTGTTTCCTATCCTAGTTGGCAGACTTACCTCGCATTATTGTTACATTGGAGTAAAAATTGAAGAAAACGTGAAAGAGAATCGCAGATTTAACGAGAGGATTAAAATCGTAGAGAGGCGCTATCGAAAGGACGAACACAAATTATCTACCAAAAATACAAAAACTATTTACATGTACTTTAACATATTTCTTTTAAGAAATAGGGTAAAATACATATTTTGGTAGGTTGTGAAACTGTGTTGAATTGACCTCTTCTGAAGACATGTAAATCTAACGAATGCCATCCCAGTGTGAAATAGACTAAAATACATCTGAGTTCGGTCAGTTATATCTCACAAAGTAAACACAGGGAACACGAAAAATGCAATTAACTTAACAATACCTCAAAAACAGTGTAAAATTATTTAAGTATAGAACGAATTGAAATTTTTGGTTAAATGTAGACAAATCAAATTTGGTACTTTGAAAGTACACAGGAAATGTCATATAATGTTTTAAATTACGTACACAAAAATTGGCATCGGGGAAGTTTGTTAAGGACCTAATGCATAGAGTTAGATATTTCTCAATTAATAACGGATCCACTTACCATTACCATAACCTAAAACTAAAAATAAATATTGTATCAATCTTTTCTGAAAAGAAAACCAAACCAAACCTTGTTGGACTTTAATGAAAACAGATGGAATAAACAAAACAGAAATAGTGTTCTGACTTTAAAAAATGTTAAGAGGTCCAGACCGGGATCCGAACCCTAAATTTCTTGTTATACTATCGCTGTAACTGCCTGAGCTACCCGCACAAAGGAAACGTCCTGGCGATTGATCGATTGAGTGGTTTTACGTCCGCTTCACTACCCAAATGTGCTACGGTTATATTTAAGACGAAATGAAGAAGAGGTTACCGTATATACAAAAACCCTCGTGTACCTTCGTGTAAGCATACGATATCAAACTTTGTCTGATAAAATGTTATTTATAAATTGTTTATCACACATCTGCTTCACCTTGAACCCAATGAAGCAAAATACGGTCATATCAACACCAGTCCTTACACAGATCATCGCCGTCTTGATCGTAGGACACAGAAACCTGATCACCAACAAGGTAAGGTAATCATACTGTTGTTACTACTACAAAATTTACAATGGTATGTTCTAATTGTCAATAACAAGGATTAAGTTGGTTATACACCCAGTTGTTCAATGACATAAAAAAGTGAGTTTGTTTATACTTAAAGTTTCGTGGTTCTGAATGGAAGACGGGTGCACTAAATGAAAACCTTACCCTTCCGTAGATTCTGGGTTTCACTTTGCATCCTCCTATGTTTCTGTCGTCTGTGTTTGTCATCTGTGGTGTCCGAATAGGGTTTGTGTTGACATTGTGAGTCACTCGTTGATTCTGATGTTTTGTTCTATTTACATGGTGCGTTTTATCTTGTCTTTGTGTATTGACACTGTCGTATAATTTATTTTGTCCATGTGTGTTGACTCTGTTGTATATTTTGTCCTTGTGTATTGACTCTGTTGTATATTTTGTCCATGTGTGTTGACGCTGTTGTATATTTGTCCTTGTGTATTGACGCTGTTGTATATTTTGTCTTTCTGTGTTGACGCTGTTGTATATTTTGTCCATGTGTGTTGACGCTGTTGTTTATCTTGTCTTTGTGTGTTGACGCTGTTGTATATTTTGTCTTTGTGTGTTGACGTTGTTGTATATTTGTCCTTGTGTGTTGACGTTGTTGTATAATTTGTCCTTGTGTGTTGACATTGTTGTATAATTTGTCCTTACAAGTGTAAGTGTTGACGCTGTTGTATATGTTGTCCTTGTTGATGGTGGGTTTTGTATTGTCCTTGAATATTGATCCTGTGGTATATGTTGTCCTTGTTGATGGTGGTTTTGTATTGTCCTTGTATATTGATGCTGTGGTATATGTTGTCCTTGTTGATGGTGGGTTTTGTATTGTCCTCGGGTGTTGACGCTGTTGTTTATTTTGTCCTTGTGTGTTGACATTGTTGTATAATTTGTCCTTGTGTGTTGACGCTGTTGTATCTGTTGTCCTTGTTGATGGTGGTTTTGTATTGTCCTTGTATATTGATTCTGTGGTATGTGTTTTCCTTGTTGATGGTGGGTTTGTATTGTCCTGGTATATTGATGCTGTGGTATATGTTGTCCTTGTTGATTGTGGGTTTTGTATTGTCCTCAGGTGTTGACGCTGTTGTATATTTTGTCCTTGTGTGTTGACGCTGTTGTATATGTTGTCCTTGTTGATGGTGGGTTTTGTATTGTCCTCGGGTGTTGACGCTGTGCTATATTTTGTCCTTGTGAGTTGACGCTGTGCTATATTTTGTCCTTGTGAGTTGACGCTGTGGGTTATTATGTTCTTGTGCGGAGATGTTGTATTTTAGTTTGTTCTTTAGCGGTGATGCTATATTTTTATATTTCCGTTTTGATTCCGTTTCAAAGCCATTCAGTGTCAAGCACACTCGTAGTCATGATAAATATGGATGATATTATGTGTAGCGGTGTCAACCTCGCTAGATAAAAGGGACATGTTATATCCTGTACAGAGTTCACCAAGTAAATGTTCGTTGCGTATCTATAGTATTATTATGTAATAGGTGATAAGAAACAAATGTAAAGATTTACCACAAACTCTTGTTGTAAGGATCCCCGTCCTGCTACAGGCAAAACACTAGAGATTATACTCCCCCCTATATATAGTAACCCCCTATAACTTAGTTTTCGATATAACTGTGGCACAATATGTCAAAACGTACTGCTCGTGACCAGGTATCGCTGTTGGTTAAAGCAACAGTATACAAATTTGAACCCCATGGTTCGAATCCTGGTGTAACCGCCTAATATTCCGTATTATTCTGTTTGAGAAAGTCCCTTAAGGCCTGTTTTGTCTTTTGTCTCTTGTTGTTCTTTCTGAAATACAACCTAGAATGTATACAGATTGTGAAAAGCATAGCAGGTCAGTTGCTTATCATCTGTTAAGAAACAATATACAAGTGATTCCGACATATTGTTAATCAATGATATATTTTCAATTATTGTTGATAGTGATACGGAGTCGATTAAAAGGGAGGAGGCTGCGATGCATTGATTTCAAAATGCATATTTTACTTTTTGAATCTATATGATATACCCAACTACAGTTTCAGCATTTTTTATTTTCGTTTTCCACACAGTAAAGCATGTGGCTGTTCGGACTTGTTTACCTGTTGACCGGCTACTTTACTGTACATGGACAATCGGCCGACCAAACGGTCCCGGCAACTCCGGACATCAGGACCATTCTTACGGTTGTTTCGGATCTAACAAAGCAGATTGAAGGACTGGAGAAATATCAACTGAACTATCTACAAATCGTTTCATCCTTGGAAGCGAAAGTGGATTCTGTTCAACGGAAATGTGATAAAATTCTAGAAGAAAACAACAGACTAAGGGAGAGAGTTGAAATCTTAGAGAATCTCAATCACCCTGACGATCCTAAACCATCTACCACGCATGAGCAAATCAACCCGAGAGAAGAAGATCGAACCTCTCTTGGAAAACTTTTTATAAATGAGAATCACAGCAGTAGAAAAATTACTGAACATTCCTATACAAATATCACTACAGCAGACTTCGGTCTGAAATCAGATCCAGGAGCAACTACTGTTGAATCTGCACCTGATGCCCAGTCAGGGAACGAAATCCCAAAATCTACTGTAGGATTTGACAAGTTGGCGGTAAGGAGCAAGAAACCAGAGCATCAAAATCGAGTCCAAGGTATATATAATATATATAGGATCTTACATGAGTTTCCATTTCATATGAAATTTATGAAACAAGTCTAAGAACTTTTCAATTTAGCGAGCCTCTGGCGAGCTCAAATGAAATATTCGTGACGAGTTTCATAAATTTCATATGAAATGGAAACGAGCGTAAAATCCTTTTTATCACATAAGATTTGTGGCATTTATTCGTGTAAAACGACAATTTTCATGCAACCTTGAAATGTAAAAAGCCGCCATTTTGACCTCAGTGCATCAGTCTGTGACGTCATGTACTTGTCCTAGGCGTGACGTCACAATCAAAACAATTGGAACTTACAACCAATCACAGGGTTGATAGGTCATATAACATGGGTTAATATTCACTGGATAACACAGTACATTGTGTGATAAATACATTTATCAATATCAGAATTGCTTCTCTCATACAATTTTAAAACAACTTTCTTTTTCACAGAATGTTATGTACGCAATAGTAAGTCCACATAATAATTCCAGGGTTGCGTGTTAACCATGGTAGATACAGTATGTGGTATTAATATACAATTATGGACTTTTGAATATGATGTGATATGAACCTGAAAGAGTGATATTGACTGAGGCGAAGCCGAGGTTAATATCACTCTTTCAGGTTCATATCACATCATATTTACCAGCACAAAAGCCCATAACTGTTTTATTATATGCTTCAACTATAAAATAAAACAAAACAAAACTCAAGGTTCTGAAATGTGTACGCAAGCCTCTGTGTAATATTTAGCCAGGTTTGAATCAACAGTTCAGTATCGTAGCTTTCGAAGACATCGTCTAGGTTCTTTTTTCTTAAGATAAACATGGAGGACATGCACTGCGTGTTCAATGGCCTTTTATGTTAACAGCATCTTTATCCTTGAACAGTTTTGGTAATTTTCTAATGTAACGGAGGAGAAACGTTCGCCAGCAGCCATCTTCTAATGTCGTCTGACAGATCGCGTTCCGGTCTAACTGCGCATGCGCTACGACAGGTTCCGGGAAATTTCCATATGGGTTATTTTTAAAATCGATATTCACCGGATAACCAGTCTACATGAGTTTTTGAGGACTGGTCACGTGTATCTGATCCGACCAATGTGATTGCGAGAAATTTTCATGCATATAATAAATCTGATATATTGACAAATACTTTAAGCATTAGCTCCTACAGTTTCCAAACATTGAATAAGAATAGTTTTTTTTACCTTTCAGCAACACCAGCCTTCGTAGCATTCAACGCCTATCTCTCGGGCACCATACTCGACCCGGGAACTGGCTACATAATCCAGTTCAATGACGTTTTGACAAATGTTGGAGACGGCTACAATCCTGCGACGGGTGTGTTCAAGTGTCCGATCGCCGGGCTCTACGCCTTCACCTGGTGTACAGGAATGGCGAACGCTGGTTACATGACGACAGCGCTGTTGAAAAATGGAATCTCAGTGGCGTATTCCTTCGTATCTTATCCTCACGATTCTTACCCATCAACGGCATGTCAAACGTCAGTACTGATGCTGAGTTACGGCGACATACTATATGTCAAAGTGACGGCTCAAACCTCGTCACCCGCGTTATACAGTCCCTACACCTCCTTTAACGGGTTCCTTCTAAAACACGACGCATTGTAAGGGTCGTGTTCGCGGATATTCAACTCAAGACTATGGATGCTTCTCACAGTGTGCCTTCGTAGGATCCACACTGTGGACAGCGCTGTCGTCATGTTTCTAATAACTTTATAAGGACAATGCTTTATATTAAATTCATATCTTCCAATACAATACGACGTTTAAAATAGAAATTCAAAGTAAAAGGTTGTTACTTTTGTATATGCTAAAATTGGTCAGACTCTCAGGGCCTTCAGCTCGGTAGGATGATGACTTTTATCTGTGACGTCATAGTTGTGTTCTGCTTTATACGTCAGCTGATAGTGATCACGTGACAAGTAATGGTGGTTTGTGATGACACGTAGAGAACCCAAAGAGATATCCATCCACAACTGGTTTGATCAGTCCATTGTATTGAGTGATTAATTATACCAATCTATATATCGTACCAATTAAATAAAATGATCTTTGTAAAATTGTAATATGTTTTACGGCACGGCCGTTAGTGAGGGCGGAGCCAGGTTGTACTGTAAATGTATCGGAATATCGGTTCAAGCATTGAGTGATGTGTTAAATTACTAAATCAGACCTACATGTATAGCTATACAGTGTATATTACAGATAAGTTTCCTTTCTTGATTTCTTTTTGGCTGACAAGATGTTTGATATCTTGAAGTTTTCCGCCTAGGCGTATGATGACATGACATTAATGTGAGAATGCGAAAGGTTCATTAGACTCTATATAAGTATTTAAATTTGCACCTCTTGAATCCATTACAAGAATCAAGTGCAGCATATTCTACAAAGACATTGTTATAAAACATATTAGGATGGATATTGTTAATCATGTATAATAGCATAGTTATCTGATATCCACGAAAAAATATACATATATATATGTATATATCTTTACGAATAAGCCCTTTGGATTACTTCAAACTTAACTTCAATGATTTATAAATATTGCATCCAGAGATAATTTATGCAAAGTATTTTACAATTAGTGCTTTTTATGTGTAAAAATTAATTTGTTCAATGCTATAAAAACTGGATTTA